TGAGAACAGTTATAGAACAATCGTTTGATCTGTCTTTTGGAAACCAGGAAACCAGTCATTACACAAGATATTCGCAGCACATAGTTTCACTCATAATCATAATAATCACTTGCGTGCACATATCAACACAATGAAAACCAGCAAAAATGTTATGTGATGTGCATACATACATATATTACCGTCATGTGTTAAATTCGCATAATTTATAGACTAGCTTAGTTAATTTAAATAATTGTAACATGTGGACTGATTGCTTTACAGAATCCTTGATATCACTACCTACTACCTATTCATTGTGGTTAAATTCCACGGATTCAGAATGTACTGGATAAAGTAATTTATTAACGAAAATGGTGAAAACTACAGCAATATATATTTGAACAGAAAACACTATGCCTCGAACTGCGCTAATAAGCAACGCTTAAACATCACTTTCTGGTTGTGATATTGACCCAAGTAATCCGATTTATGTATCTGTTTATGCATCTGAAACCGTTTCAGTATGTTCAGTATTCATAATACATCGTTCTAGATTATTTCTCCGGAAGATATGATGTTCCATAAGATAAACATTAACAAACAAACGTGTTCAACAAGAAGCACACAGTCAATTTAAATACGCCAGCTTACCAAGAAGTATTAAAGGTTGTAACAAGCTTAGTGGAAACGAATTCAGAAATTGATAGAAGTGTGAATTGCTGGTCAGATCTCCATAATGACGCCCTTTAGAGATGAATGTGAGGATAAAATAGTACTATAATGAACAAGACTGAAATGAATACATTGGGCAGGCAAATCTGTAAGTTTAGGGCGCACTATCTCTGAACACTTCCCAGAGAGATCTGTGAGGATTGAGCAACCGAAATATTTGATGACACTTTCCAGAAGTCTGCTCAGATGGTGAAGATGAAGACACCTTCCGAAACTGATGAGATTTGGAAATACCCTGAACATAAAACTGACATTGATGCTGTCCCCTCTACACCCAGTAAATAAAAATACAATTTCCATCTTTGACCTGTTTTCATCTTTAATTCCCTCATTTGCAAATTAATTGAAGTGCAAATATGGGAAGGGAGGAGGCGGGGATGGTGACATAGAAGTTTCTAACTGCCATGGAGGCGAACAATGTGATATGGTGCCATATTGTGTATATGTGATGGGTGGTGAAGTATGTTTTTTCTTTTATTTTAATACTAATAATAATCCCTGCCCAGGACCAGTCACTTCCCACTCGCAATCGCCAAAATGTGATTCTTAAACAAAATGTCAATATGAAATGTCGACTTTGCAATGAATTTTCAGAGACTGCCCAGCACCTTGTCAGTGGATGCTCTTTCTTGGCACAAAAGGCATACCTTAAACGACATGATGTCATGGCTCGTTGCTTCTACTATCGTCTTCGCCTTGACTCCGAGGTCCATCCATGGTACGACCCTGAACATGTCCAGGGTCTCGTGGAAAATGATCCTTTTATACTTCTTTGAAATAGGCCCATCTACAACCTCAGAAGAATTCCTCCCAACGAACCTATTCTTGCCCTTTTTGATAAAGGCAACGAATTTATTTATATCATTGGATTTTCTGTCCCTTTTGACAACAACGTGATTAGCAAGATTCAAGAAAAGCATGCCTTTGAAATGTCTCGCTTGCATCTCAAGTACACTGTCGTCAGGCTCCCCATTGTTTTCGGTGCCCTTGGTTTGGTACTTCCTGATCAGGAGAGGGCCCAGGTTCTCCACCGGGAGCACAGCCCTTCTGACACTCTGGGTAATGCAGAAGGCTGCAGTGTTGGGGAGTCTACATACTAGTATTCTTCAGAAAGTTCTTGGTGGGTTCGACTTGGCAGCGTTTCCTGGGAGAAGTCGCATTCGCTGTCTGAGCTGCGTGTAGATGGGGCAAGGTCCCTGAGGTGATGAAAAACCTTACCAGCATGGCTGTGCTGTCACAATAACAAAGATAACATCAACTTGGGTGATGCATAAAGTCATAACTTCTTTCTACAAATGGTGTGAGTGGATTATGGTATCAGGAATGCTTTGATCACTTCTCAATATTTCTGTTTGGCGGATAATTGAGACTCTAGGCGCTCCACTTCAGATACCATATGATGAGTGTATCCCAAGATCCCATTCATTGTAGTAAAGTGTTTGACAACAGCTGTTCCAGGGAATCTTCGCAATGAAAGTTGAATAGAATGCCTCATGCAATCAATATTTACATACATGCTATTCGTAAATGATATCCACAGTTGTACTGAGCTATGTAATCCAACTCTAAGGATAAAATGCATTATGCAGTACAGCCTAAAACATTAAAAGAAGCAAAGCCTCAGTACAGTGAAATAACTATCAAATGAACACTGGAACGACCTCACTGAACAACCCATTTTACCATTACTCAGTTGTTGGAATTGAAATAGCCTGGAAAGAACAAACAACTTTCTTCCTATATTGATGTCAATGATATTGATATTTAACTGTATCATAAAACATATTCACAAATAACATAGTTAAGCACCCCCTGATATATCTCACGATTGCATGAGCCCCGATCTTAAACCTTTGGAGCATATCCGGGACATGACTGGTCGTCGTGTGCAACAAAGGGACCCTCCTGTACCGAACCTGGCCCGATTGGAAGCTGCGTTAGACGAGGAATGGCGTAGATCGTCCCTTCAGAGGATCAGGAGGCTGACAGGCGTATGAGGAGGAGAGGGCTGCCATACAGTCACATGGAGGTTACACTCGGTATTGAGCTTGAATCGTGTTAGACACGCAAAATGATATTTGGAATGTTCCCATTCACCAATAAATTCAACATTAAACAATCCAGGGCCATACTTGTATTTGTTTGAAAATCAGCGTTGTTGTTTCTAATAGAGCAATTATCGTGGATTCCAATCATTTTGTCGTTTTTTAGGAGTCAAAGGATCATACGGGTCAGAAAACTCATGTTTTTCCATCGTGGTCACCACGAGAAGTTTTATGTACTTGTTGAAAATCTATCATTGCAAAAATACATAGGGTGCTAAATTAAGTTCTTTGTGTTTATGCCAATTCTGATATGATTATAAAAATGTCATTTAAGGCCAAAGCTAACTGGGTAAACCGTAAAACACGTCATACTTTCACGGCGCCATCAAAGACATCTTCATCAGTTGTATTCACATATATTAAAACCTATTAAAACGCGAGTGTTGGGGAATCAGCTCGCTTGGCAAGAGGTATGACAATACCAACCCACACACAACACAACACCTGAGTAAATAAAGGAGGAGTTTATCACACAACAGTCACTGAACATGCATGTTACATGATCAGGCAATAATAGAATGGTTTACAATTAATTATTACAGTATATTCACAATGCAATCAGCCATCAAAGGACATAAATATAACATATAGATTCGTTACACATACTACATTCCATACTACACATTGGAAAGTATAAAACGTAATGCAATTGTTCAGTACTCTTCACATCACCCTAGTTGGCGTTTATACAATCTACATTCTGTAACAGTCACAAAACAGCATAGTGTTCACAACGTAATGCAACAGTTATATTATCCGACACACTATATACATTCTATAATAGTCACAAAACAGTGTAGTGTTAATCAGTATTAAATAAACAATCCTAAACAGTAATGCAGAATATATGAGAAATATAATAAAGGCTGCCTCGTTCACCATCAACCTGAGAGACGGCCACCGTGGTGTAGTGGCTAGAGCGTACGCCCGGAGAGCGGAAGGTCGCGGGTTCGATCCCCGACCGCGTCATACCAAAAGAAGTTAAAATATGGTACTTGTTGGACCCTGCCTGGCGCTCGGCATTAATGGGTACAACAAGGACTGGTCGGCTCGGAGTCAGTATTATGTGTCTGAGTGGGGTATTCATGCTTCACTGCGGCATGGTATCTCAGTGGGATAGCACTATAAAACCAGCTTCAGTCTGTGCTAGTACAAGCAGCCGCACATACAGATACACATACACACGCATGCACATCGTCATATGAGCGAAATATTCTCAAGCACGACGTTAAACCCAATTTCACCTCACCTCACCCTGAGGGAAGTGCTAAGAATAACAAATAGTAAAGAGACGTCCAGTAGATTAAAGTTAATAGAGAATAGCAATAGTAAATATTTGTCAAAGTAGAAGATAGTAAAGTTACATACCCGGGTGAATTTACAAGACACCCACCCAATGATTTGTGACTGTTGTCCGTGTTACATAGTTTTTCTATCTATCGCAGATAATCGCGTTTACAGATAAAACTTACGATAACGTTGTTAATGTGAACTTGAGCTTATGTCATTTAGTTTAACATAAATATATTGGTAAAACTTTGTCCAGTTTTTTCGTGTTAATACATCATTAGTTTTTAGCAGGTGGCATAACATAATGATTTGAACTTCGAGCTTCCCAAAACCAAATTTATTTACTGTTATACTGTCAAGAGAATCGTATAAATAATATGTGAAAATAGCAACTACTGATCTCTTGAAGCATACGAGATTATGGACTAAATATAGAACAGTTAAACAATCCTGAGTTCTTTGTGTTATTTATAGACTGAAACTTCCAGAAACACTCCGTTTATTTCCTACAAAGTCACGACCTTGGTTCATGAAAAAGATACTTCATTTTACTATCGACATTTTATTATCGAAATGTATCAGCTACCTTTTATCACATTGGTCTCAGCAGGTTCTTGGATCGACCATTTCTGACATATGTTCCTCGTCTCAGTACCAGATGGTCATCATACGCTTGTTACGTTTCAACTCAATTTCGGGCATTAACTTGTGTGAAGGAGCTGTTGTCTGACAAGAGGGAACCGAGGTATAAATATTTCCTTAACAAGTTATTTTCTCTTAGCACACCTTAAGTCAATGTCTGATAAGAGGACACTGGTGGATTCACTGTATTGAAATAATTTACCGATATCCGGAGCAAGTATACCACCAAGGTATGAATATTCCTTCAACCAATTAGTTTCTATTACATATCCTGAATCTGAACATAACACCATTTTCGCCAAATGCGTATTTTGGCACGACATCACGTGACAATCTTTCCCATTTCCCAGCATCCTCCAGTTCCTTCATCAGCTGCTCCAGTCCGTCCTTGTATTCCTTGCACTGTGAGAGATATGATTCCTTCATCACGATGCAGACTAAACCCCCTGAAAAGAGGGATTAAAATGTTTACTACGGACAAAAGATGAAATGCAATTTGATTCACACACACGTGTAAACCATATTCCCATATGCAGTCATGACTTAAGGGCAATGACGAGTAAGAGAGTGAGTTGGGTTTTACGTCTCTTTAAGTATTCAAACAATATCACAATAGGGGACACCTGAAACGTGCTTCGCAATTTCAAGCCATGTGGGGAATCGAACCCGGGCCTTTGTCGTCATGAGCGAACACTTTAACCACTCGGATACCCCACCGCCCCAGCCCAACAATGAAAGAAACAATAGTCAATAAATCTGAGTAGAGACAGGCAGAAGACCATACAGACATTAATTGAAAAAAACACCCCAGGCCGAAAATGCATGCAAAGAAAATTTCTTAATTTCGAACGGCTGGTTTTCAACAGTTTGTTTACTTAGTGTATATAAAAATAGGTCCTTAGAACTTCCATTTTGTTGGTTAGATTTATTTTCGAAATATATATAGTCCTCTCACCAAAGTGTAAATTATTCATTTTGAACATGGGCGAGATCAGTGTCGACGGCAAATTTGAGACAAAAGAACTTTCGAATGTCTTGTGATAGCAGAAATTAGTTACCTTCAGACTGAGAGAAGTGTCCTAAAATGTTTATAAACCAAACATTTGTCTGAATAATTTTGGGACTACCAGGACTGTTGCAATTTCGACCTTTTTCAGTTATATATATACACAATTTAGTTTTTGTTGCTCCATTCTGATCTTCTGTAAGATGTAGATCTAAATCCAACTCACCTGGTTTGGTCACTCGAATTAGTTCGTAGAACCCGTGCAGTGGAATGTGTCCTTCTCCCATACCACCACATGATACACTGCAGTCGTACGATCCTGAAAGATGATTGCAATGCCTGTTCATCACAAATGTTGGCATATGCAGATTTTCGAAAATGGACATCAGAAAGAAAACAAATTTTTCTATTTTATATATAGCAGTATTTGCTAAACATAGGTGGTGGAATGCTCACTAGTACATGATCAAATCAAGGTCAAAAGTTACCTACCGTCATCTATTGGGAGGGGTTTACTGTTCAGGAACTCGCAATAGATTTTGGTGTAGATGTTCTTCTTCCTGGCTTGTTCCAACATCCCTGAAGCTGGTTCTAGAGCATCCAGGTGCTTAAATCCGTGGTCCTGAAGCTGAAACATGACTCAGCTGTTTATGATTTAATAAAGAGCAAAGTTATGATTCAATATACATTTACATTGATAAACAACCAATAAGTGTGATAATCTTTTAAAAAATTACACATCATTCACCCATCTTTCGTACGCCATGTGTGCAAGATGTTAGCATTTACGAGCATACATGTGAAGTTGGATCATGAAGCTGTACCTGTTCGCCTACAAGGCCTGTTCCTGCGGCAACATCTAATACTTTAGTCTGGGGTATATCATCCCTGAAGTACTCTGCCACTGCGTTTGCTGCAATGACTGGTCCCTCATACTGCTCAAAACGCAAATCCTGAAACATGGAAATCATAAGATGAAGGTGAATATCTGAGTACAGCGAATAGATACCATTAACAAGACGTCATACCATATACCCAGTAATTTAATAAAACCTACCTGGTCGTATTTGCCATTCATGGCCCATTTGGTATAGAAATCAACGACTTCCTCTGTGGTGATCCCAACACGATGGCACTCGGCTGTAAACGCCCTTGCTGTGTCCTCTTGTACATAATTCTGTGAATTCGTAGTTACCCCCTCGTCTGACATTTCTGAAATTACAAAGCCTGCAATATTCCTACAGTCGCAGCTAACTTGCCTCCTAACCAATCCATAAAATCTGATTTGGGATATGGATTTAGCTTGTTTTCCCTGTTTATCAGGCACGTAAATCCACGCCTTCGTCTTAACTGATACTACATCGTCCAAATGGCCATCTGAAAGACATTATAATCCTTCACTCAAACACTTTCAGTTCTGGTGCAAAACTGTGATGAACTCTTTCCACATCATAAAAGCAGAATCGATGTACAATTTAGACCATTTCATGAGCTATTATTTATGAATCACTGTCAACACAGTAATGAGTCAAGATGTTCGCGAAAATGTGAGTGTATTCTGCCCCACCCATAACACAAAGTATCTCTTCATACCAGTTTGTGAGTTTGGTTGATGTGACCGTTTCACGAGTTTTTGGCTCCTTGATGACCAGTTTTTCAAAGTCCCACAGTTAATTTCTATATAACTAAACAGCACATACCTTATCTTGCCCTCTTTTCTAATGGAAAAGTATGTAGTTCAGTCAAATGATGCTATTTCATTCACAGTCCCCAGTTGCATGGTGTATGAAAGTAACAACCAGCATATACAAGTATATATTATGTTTAGTATATGCATACATGTAAATATGCAAACATATGTTCCTAATGCATATTCTACCACCTATTATCATGCCTTTGTGCATAACTGTTTCATATGTGGTCCTCTGCAACTTAGTGTTGGAAAATGTCATGGTTAGGTTTATACTGACTGAGTTTGGTTTTACGCCGCTTTTAGCAATATTCCAGCAACATCACGGCGGGGGACACCAGAAATGGGCTTCACACATTGTACCCATGTGGGGAGTTGAACCCGGGTCTTCGGCGTTACGAGCCAACGCTTTGACCACTAGGCTACCCCATCGCCCCGGTTAGGTTTATAACTGATAACCTTCTCAAAAGTAATTGATTTTAAACACATGTATAAACAGCATCAAATAGCCTATCTAGGATATATATCAAACGTCCTGCAACGAAGTTGTAGATACAGGCATGCTGGTTCTTATGGAGATCGTAAACATTAATACAATGCATTTACATCAAGTTTTACCTTGAATGAAGGATCGAAAATGCAGCGAATGTAAAAATCTGTCTTTTTTCCAGTCGATACGCATTAAAGCATAACAATTTGTAACAGACATTTTGTCATTGAATGAAATACATTTGATACCCAATGTGTTTAGTTTGACATATTTGTTTGACTATTATATAATTTCTTTCTCAAAATGGTTCTTCCTGTGTTAATATTTGGTGTGGTTGTCTTTGTACTTCAAGGCAGTTGAAATGTGATGATACTGGCAATGCTGAAGGTTACAAGAACATTGTAGAACTGTCAGAATATGGTAAGCGTCTACTGGTTATGTCTATATCATTAAGAATTTGCTTTAATGTAAATGAAGGACTAAAGTCCACCAAAGGAAGGTTACGTACTGATTATTGTCACAGAGTTGTATTCCAGACCAAAGCGTCATAAAATAAAGCAATTCTTGGAGTTTTATTATTAGCGACATTTTCTAGTTTGAGAAGCATTTTAGTGTGAGATTACAGCTCACACGCGTAAAGATTTCTTTCGGCTTTATTGCTTTATTGCAACTGCAAAGTCCACTCAGTCGAGCAACATGTCTGACAGTGAGCTCTTTACCACAAAGGTCCGACTTTGTAAGGACAGCTCTAGTCAAATAGTCACGAGCAAACCGCCTGCAGCCAACACATCACCGTCACAAACCGACCTCACCACGTCCCGATCGACAACCCAAGGTACGAACAATAATATGTTGATCCACATTTGTGACAATCGGAAAGAGTGCAATACGACGTTTACTCCAACATTTTTTTTTATCAAGGCTGCAACATTCAATACAAAACGTACAGAAAGTTATATGATAGACATATGTTTCATGTGAACAATTGACATGCCTGTGCATGTATTTGTGACGGATGTTACATGGTACGCTCACCTTTTTGTTAATACTTGCATCAGTACTATTTAATAAATATTCATACAATCGACACCGTTTAAAGCGATGTCTTCTTCTGGATAGGGCTAAATGCCCTTAAATGTGATATTTTGACTGATATTTGAGTGATTTTCAACATCACTTTTATTATGTTTAGTTTATTGCAAACCAGAACATTTTCTTGCCGTGAATAGCTGCGCAAACAGTGTTTACCAGCAAAACACTTGCAAACGTGTTCCAATACTTTTGACCTAGAACTAACGGTGTGTCTCAATAAGTGAAAAGCAACTTACTAAACTGCCTGGTCCCTTGACACCACCTTACTCTAATTCACTTTAAAAGCATCCACAGGATTGTTGAATTGAGATGAATTGGAGTGCATGTATAGCGCCACGTCTTAAAGATGCAGATGTTCCAACACAGCGGTGTGGCACCTGATAGGAGGAGAACATACCTTCCAGTAAAAGTCTGGTATAGAAATACGGTGGTCAACACTGACGGGGAAGATACTGTGCATACAGCGACCAGATGTTGTGGTGATGCCCTCGTTCGGTAATTTGAAACGGTCAAGAGAATAGTGTATGACTGGGTTAGGAAATGAGATTGTAGTAAACAAACTGAGCATTGTTTCGTCATGACTCCCAAATGTTTTCATATTTCCAAACATAGACACTGTACAATCGGACTATTGCAAAAAAAACATATAACAGAAATGTTTGAGTATATACGCATTACCTTTGCTTTAAAAAGCAAGGTGAAACGCGAAGCTTCATCGAGAAATTTTCAGAACTCAATTATGTATTTAGTAAACCTCCATCTGGGATCAATAAATAATTAAAAGTTATAGCAATGTATGTTTGGTTGTGCCATTTGGAATCCCTGTAATCGCAGTAGCTGAATTGGTCATGGGTTATTGTTTCAATTCATGAGTAATAATCCACGCCCGGCGATGCTGACCTCTTTGGCAAATACCGAATTGCAGAAAATATAAATTACAGTCTAAGGAATAACTTTTTATTTTATATATTATTTTCAATGTAGCCCGCTTACAAGCGAGTAACATTTTCTATATACCCCGTTAGGAATGAAGAACTCATTTGGTACTTCGTAGTAGTAATTCTTTATCTCGAATAATATTGAATCACGTATGATATACGGAAATTACCGATGTTTTGCGAATGCAAATCGATGGAAGGGAGATAACTCTAAATTTGTCTGGTGATCCGATACCCGTGCTTCAAACAGTTGCAAATTACCATTGAGGTGTTCGGTATGATAAATACGTTGTTCATTGGTCATGGGCTGATGTACCCTCGATGTTTGTTCATGTTCCCTGAGCCCGAAGGGAAACATATAATGTTCGTCTGTATCTTATGATTCTGTAGTGAAATTCATGTGCATAAGGCGTGAAAAAATCACCATTTGAGGCCAATATAACAGCAAACGTTCAGGTTCGCTCGCACATGCAGTGCGATTAACAAATTTACCTAGGACATATTTACGGTAATTCATTTCACTTTCGCCTTTAAAAAATCGTAAACTTTGGAAATAATGGACTTGATGTCAGAGATGAATTTCACTGTCTCATGTACCCTGTCAATAAATCTATTGGCTAATTGTGACGTCACAATTGCATGTGGTTCCGGCAACAGTGCTACAGTTACTTTACCCTCGTAAACTTCACAAAGAAAATCAAATCAAACTGATAATACTTTGTTAAGTAACTTTATTATTTTGGAGACAAACGTTATGAAACTCTTTTCCAGAGTTGGTCTAATGTTTTCATTACAATCTGCGTTGAAATGAATGTCTGACCATGTACTGATTTGGAGTTAGATTGTGATTCATAGGTATCATTTTGACCCAAACAGCCTGTACCTTCTCACTGAAATGTTTGATTCAGTTGGTTACAGTCACTTTCTAAACGAAATGTTTGATTTAGTTGGTTACAGTCGCCTTCTCACTGAAATGTTTAATTCAGTTGGTTACAGTCACCTCACTGAAATGTTTGATTCAGTTGGTTACAGTCACCTTCTCAATGAAATGTGTGATTCAGTTGGTTACAGTCACTTTCTCAATGAAATGTTTGATTCAGTTGGTTAGTCTCTTTCTCAATGAAATGTTTGATTCAGTTGGTTACAATCACTTTCTCAATGAAATGTTTGATTCAGTTAGTGACAGTCACCTCACTGAAATGTTTGATTCAGTTGGTTACTGTCATGTCATTGAAGTGTTTGATTCAGTTGGTTACTGTCATGTCATTGAAATGTTTGATTCAGTTGGTTACAGTCACCTCACTGAAATGTTTGATTCAGTTGGTTACAGTCACCTTCTTCCTGAAATGTTTGATTCAGTTGGTAAGTCACCTCACTGAAATGTTTGATTCAATGGGTTACAGTCACTTTCTCACTGAAATGTTTGATCCAGTTGGTACAGTCACCTGCTCACAAAAATGTTTGATCTACTTTGTTACAGTTCGACTGTTTCAGTTCATCTGCAGTCGATACTCATCCAAGTGACGCATATTGAATATGAAATTGTCAGAAGCAGTCCATGGTAATTTTGAGGACAGACCTTCCGTTTTCTCTAACTATAACATTTGATGCATTTGATATCGTTTCTGTAGGTTTACATGTTGTGCAGAGATGACACAATTTGTCTGATTTATGCTGAAGATAAAATATTACAATAAACGATGTGATATTAACTGTTTGATTGCCAATGAACAGCTTCATGGACAACAGACTCTGTTTTTATAATACAGCGACGATGGCGAATGAATACGAATACAACTTCATGGACACAGCTTCTAGTTTACTGAATATAGCGACGATGTAGTTAGTTTCACGGTTACCATGTTGGAGAGACTACAACAAATGTTGAGAGGTATATATACCTGAAAGGTTTGTGATAAACAGCAGGTAAACATGAATAACATGGTAATAGACAACAAGTTGCACATATTGCATGTACACATATCAGATGTGCAATGTAAATACAAGATAGAAATGATAAATATTATACATGTATAGCAAGCTGATTCGCAACTGATTGTAGAATCAATAGAAGAATATATTGATCATTAGGTCGACGTAAGTGTGGAAAGGCATTGTACCCCTTTGGGGAGAGTGTAAGGTTGTAATCGAGATTGTGTCCTCGTCAACAAGATTGAAGAGAATCCAATTAGTAATATGTGACTTCAGTGTCAAAACTTCTCAGATGGAAAGCTGAGGTTTACGCAGCCTCGACCAAGTGGCAGTTTCAAGAAGTCCTTTTATGAGGAAAACGCTGAGTTTATGACTGCTGGCTTGACCTTAAGAGGAATGACTGTCTTGCTAGAAGGAAGATCTTAGTGATTTCATCGAGAAGGAGAGGTGCTTTTTGTCGGGCTGGCCAAAGGACTACGAAGGACTTAGTTTAAGGTTCACTGGCTATATAATCTGTATATTCCTCCAACCACGAGGGAGAGTAACTTAAAACAACTATTTACCCACCTAAAAATACATTAACTGCTGTGACCAGGCCACGCTGATTCTGTTTAGGACTTCATTTCATTTGTGATACGTTATATATATCTCCATTTTTCAGTTGGCTCAAGGAGCAAAATGGTCAACACTCAAAGTTCAGACATTTGAAGGGCATATGATTGTGGAAGGACTCACACTGGTCAGCGAAGCTACATGTAAGCAATCTTAAGAAACTATGGGAGAGCCAAGATTTGCTTTCCAGGCAGTTTCGCTGAACGAGAATCTTACAAATATAAAACCACAAAGAACATTTCCGGAATGAGAAGAAAGCGCTAAAAACAGCATGTGTCTGATGAAACACTGTCAAATAGTAATGACACAGTTAGCAAACTCGGCAGGATAAGCACTTGCTTTGTTTTTTGCAGTTAAGCTAAAGTGCCTTTTGTACCCATGGGGAAGCGTCGTATTGGGTATATCTGCAGGGTGCTGATATGGTGCTTTCCTTGTCTAAAAAAGGTTAAATTTATATTTAAATCAAATTATGTGAGTGGCTGGTTTGATCACTGATATTCTTTTAACTTTTACTTCTATATTTGCATTCCACAGCTTTTCAGTTTTACAGCAGAATGTTATTAGGATTTTCTGAGAAACTTGGGCCATAAAACTTTATTACCGTGCCTCAGTTACTCACTCAATCACATACTACATTCCATGTACCCATATACAAAAACCTGAGAAAAGTAACCAAATGCTTTATTGAGTGAAATCCATCAAAACATCACTGCATACAGGATTCCGGTTCCTGTTCCATGTAAGCAAAGCACTCCAACATTATATCAGTTTGTGGCATGCTAATTGAAGCACACATTTTAGCTTACTATCCTATAGTGCTTATACTGAAAAGCATGTGCATTATCAACAATGAGACTCTGTCAATAGTTATATTTTTTGATGATACTTCAAAGTCTGTTATAGTTTACATTTATCGCACCGGGGACATTAGAATAACTGATCTCACTATACGGATACTGATTATAATATGGAGTTACCGTGTCACGAAATATATTTTCAATGACATAATGATTTGTTGTGCTCAGATGAGTTTAGAAATATTTGTAAGGCCAAAAGGTAAACTGGGTTACCTGTCTTGAATCACGTAAGCTTTTCACGCTTATTAAATTCACTGCACAAATACTGTTTTGCAACTTTGGTATTTTTTATTTGAAGATTGCACAATCACACGTGAATGACCATAAATAATAGTCATTTGAAACTTGTCAATTAAAAAAAAAAGCAAATTATTTACTGGTTTACTCTTAATTGAATCGCATGAGATATATGTGGATAACTGCCTCTTCATGCAGATCCCCGTTCATAAACACTCTTATACGAGATATAATTTCAAGAGCACAAATTTTGTTTCTTGACCAATAATGATTATTCTTAACAGAAATATTTTGTATTCATTACAGAAAAATGGAAAAGGGATACCTTGCGCATAGATATTTTCTGGCTTGACTTAAAATGCATTTATGCATGCGCCAGAAAAGAAATTTAGATATGCCTGATATCTGATATAGCAATCATGCACTACAACACTTTATCTGCTTTGTTTCATTATGTGAAGTAACTTGGGATATAAACGTGCTCTAAGGGGCTCGTATCTGACGAGACTTTACCAGTGAAGTTATACACCGATATCCAGAACAGTTACAAACTTAGATATTGAAAAAATACAAACTATTCTTCTATTTACATATCCTAAATTTAAAGGTAACACCACTCCTGCCAAGTGAGTATTCTGGTACGACATCACGTGACAATCGTTGCCATTTCCCAGCATCCTCCAGGTCCTTCATCAGCTGCTCAAGTCCATCCATGTATTCCTTGCACTGAGTGAGATATTTTTCCAACATCACGATGCATACGAAACCCCCTGAAAATTGAACTTGAATTGTTACTGAATACAAGTATTAACATCTCATACAATTCTCCAATACATTCACCCCTGTCACTCATGGTGCGTCGGGGTAGCCACCTGGTGGATTTTATCCGTGGACTGATGCTCACGATATCAATCACTGGTCTGTCTGTTCCAAACTCGATGGGGCGGTGGGGTAGCCCAGTGGTTAAAGTGTTCGGTCGTCACACCGAAGACCCGGGTTCGATTCCCAACATGGATACAATGTGTGAAGCCCATTTCTGGTGTCCCGGGCCATGACATTGCTTAGAGCGGCGTAAAATTAAACTCACTCACCCTGGCCCCCATGTGCACTCTGGGCTTCAGGTTTTACACATTCAGAGCAAATTTCTTATTTACAAGTGTCGTGTTATCATCAGCTTGTTTACTCATAAAAATACAGAACCCTGGTCGTCAGAACCACCACGATATTGCTCTTGAAAATGTTGACTAATTTGCTAATAGTGCACGGCGTTTTTGAAACTTAGAAATATATGTTATCCTTAAGCCAGAGCATAATAAATTTTCATTGCAACTTAAGTTTATCCTTTCGATTCCCAATAGAAATTTGGCGGGTTTTAAGCCCCCTTCTCAGAACGACCAGTTTTGATAACAGCTTTTATAATTGTTACATCTAAATTGAGAAGAATGATTTCCAACTTTCAAGGATAAAGAGGAACACCTTTTATGGATTGACAACTTCTTTATTATCCCCCGCAACGCGTTTTGCGGGGGGTATTAAAATGGACTCCGTCCGTGCGTGCGTGCGTGCGTCCGTCCGTGCACTTTCGTCTTTTCTGGAGCAGAACTCTAAAACCGTTCACTATTTCTTCACCAAACTTGGCACATTGATAGATCTGGTGGTGTACTGGTGCCTTTTGGTAGTTTTGGAATTCTGAATAAAATATTTTGGCGTTTCCATGGCAACAAGTTTCACTTTGACTGAAATTGGTGATAGTGCTATTTTCAGGAGCAGAACTTTAAAAACCTTTCAATACTCTCCTTCCACTTTTCTATATACTCACCTAAATATTTGACACAATCATAACTCGTAGACATAATCATGAAGAGTATTTTGCCATTGCGGGGAATATTGATGACTTTGTCTTCTTGTTGCAATAGATACGATGTTTCGGTTTAGATGCTAACACCGTTATGAAGAAAGTGATGACGTGATACGGTTTCAGCATCTACACCGAAACGTCGCATCTATTGCAATAAGCAAGCTATCTATCCATAAAATTGTCCTCTTCATCATACCAGCTTCTAATTGCCATCAATACCTTTCAGATAATTCAGACATGAACCATCCAACGGTAGTGCCCTATGTCCCGATCCACGAACTATTCGTAACGTTACGACCTGTCTTAACTCTACGGTTTACCACAGACTTACGAATGTCGTAGCCTTACGAACACTGCTGGATCGGGGCCATGCTCTTCTGCAAGATGTGCAGTAATGTAATATCTAACCTGGTTTAGTTAGTCGAATTAGCTCGTGCAACCCACAGCATGGAATATGTCCTTCTCCCATTCCACCACTTATTACACAGCAGTCGTACGAGTCTGTAACGATAATTGTTACAAATGTTCGTCAAAATACGGTGGTACTTACTAATATTCCAGTAGAAAGAAAAATCCTGACCATTTCATGTATATTATATTTTCAAGGTAAAACGGTGCTAGGGTGCGTGTTACTTGCATCCAACTAAGGTCGGGTGTTACCTACCGTCATCTATTGGGAGACGGTTGCCGTCCAGGAACTCACAGTAGAGGTTGGTGTAGATGTTCTTCTTCCTGGCTTGTTCCAACATCCCTGCCGCTGGTTCTAGAGCATCCAGATGCTTAAATCCTCGGTCCTGAAGCTGTAAAATAGATGAACATATTTGAGAGACCTGCTATTGGGAGACGGTTGTCGTCCAGGAATTTACAGTAGAAGTTGGTGTAGATGTTCTTCTTCCTGGATTGTTCCAACATGCCCGCAGCATGGTTCTAGAGCATCCAGGTACTTAAATCCTCGGTCCTGAAGCTGTAAAATAGATGAACCATTCACGGTGTAACCACACAAAGTTATGACTCAACATACGACGTTATTTGAGAATCTTTGAGAAAATGAGTGAACACTTAAACACCATTCACCCATATTTTGTACACTATGTACCATTTAGCGAGAGTACACGTGAAATAGATTTGGGTGTATTTAGGCTGTACCTGTACCTGTTTGCCAACAAGGCCGGTTCCTGCGGCCACATCTAATACTTTCGTCTGGGATATGCTTCCTCTGAAATAATCTGTCAAGGCGTTGGCAGCAATGACTGGTCCCTTGAAATTCGCATGACACAAGTCCTGAAACGTAGAGATCACTGGAGTAAGAAGAATGTTTGACTGTTGTGAATAATTAATAGTATTAAGACTTCATGTTAGATGCCCATGAATTATACGAATCATACCTTTTCATATTTGCCATTCACGGCCCATTTAGAGTAGAAACCAACCACTTCCTCTTTGGTGAGCCCAACACGATATGGAAAAGCGGCGAACGCTGTGGGTGTGTCCTCCGGCATACCGTTCTGTGTACACTTGTTAACATCTTTTTCTGCCATTTCTAAAAGTAAAAACAGGGTCACTGATCATTGTAAGAAACCAAATGAAAGGTTTCATTATGACTCATGCATCAGTTTATAAATGAACACTTACCAATCACCAAATAAGGACTAAGGTATGAAATTGGGTTCTTCTTCAATGGTGGCAACTTTAATCATCTCCATTTCCACTCATCCAATAAATTTGTAACTGCCCGTATCATCATCACCCATGCTTTAGTACTTCAGTTATATGTCCTGTCTCTTTCAAACACTTATAATCTCCCCCTCCCGTGCGCACGCACGCACGCACGCACGCACGCACACACACACACACACACACACTGTAATGACGTTTACATGGACGAGGGGTTAAGTCAAGAGTTCCAAGCCTCCACTTGGAGGAATGTGTATACGGTACCAAGTGTCATGGTGTCATGGATAGTAATTTAGTAAATGCATACATATTGATATACAGACATATGTCCTATTCATATTATACATTTTGTTATCTGCTACTTCAGTATTTTAGTGTTTTACCTGTGCAAGTTGGTGTTGGCATAATGCATTTCTCTCAATAATTTTAACTATCAGGGAAGCCACCATATAATTTATTTTTAAAAACACCCACGTATTTAGATCACAATCTTAAATTACAAACGTTCGAATGGATTAATGCAAAGTTGCCGAACATCATTTCAAGCGAACCCAATAGAGTTGTGTCCCTTGGAGTGCTCTTTACGAATATCCTATAAGGCAATGCGTGATTGAGGCCAGTTCGACAAACACCGACAGTTGTACGGAGCAAGTGTTAACATTCCATATATGGCAAGTGTTCTCTGTTTGGAAGCTGTTCGCCTCAAAGTTTCGATTACCGATTTCAGACAAGTCATAAGGGATGATAAGGGTTGTATTGCATCAGTAGGAAGCTAAAGTGAGTGCATATGCCCCTAATATATAAAATATAGGCCAAAATATTCCCGAAAATGTGTGATATTGTGCCTTTAAGGGCTGTGTTTGTTCTCATGAAGAGTGTGATAAAAATGCATTTGGATCCATTATTGCCTTTCAATTCATGTATGCCTTTACACAACAGCATCAATATTTCTTTACGATTGCAGTTCTTCTTCGAAATGCCATTCAGTGTGTTCAATAGTTAAGATAATACCAGCAGGATTTACCTTTAAATGAATATTCTAAGATTGTAAGAAATTAAAGACCATTGAGGTGGACAATGGTGTCACCAGTGGGGCAGCATGCTAACATCTTCGATCGTTCATGTGTGCATAACAATTTGATAACGATTCCTAAACACGTATTTAGTCGACATCCTACAATTGATTCTGACTTAGCTTATATGTCTTATGAATATGGAAATGGATTCCGCACTTTTATTCATATGAACATTTGTTCGTAGCATGAATACAGATGGATAGTATTTTTTATTTCCTTCATGATATGTAAATTACAGTATATTATGTAAGGGTATTACATCACAAGAGCCGATTGGAAATCAGCAGTAGTAGTATACCTACATTGGTATAACGCCCAGATTTGTTTGGAACATACGGTGTCATCTGCTTCCATGAAACATAGAGATCTAGACTTGTTTCACACAAAGTAGGTGTACCAATCAACATGGGGCGGTGGGGTAGCCCAGTGGTAAAGCGTTCGTTCGGCACGCCGAAGACCCGGGTTCGATTCCCCATATGGGCACAGTGTTTGAAGCCCATTTCTGGTGTACCCCGCCCATATGCTGGAATATTGCTAAAAGGGGCGTACATAGATTAACAGGAAGTAAATATCAAATTCTGTTTGAAAAGGGGATCGTTTTTCTTGGATTTTGATTTGACATGACATAAAACGATGCTTAACAACATCATAATGTGCTACTCTTCAGACACCATAGAAGATGATTCTTTGTGCATGTCTTGTAATATCAGCAAGTTTTTAGAAAATAATGTTGCAAGTTCCCTTAACCTCTGTACACTTACACGTACACTCTGATACCGGACCTATGTCTGCGACAATCAAGTTATTTTACTGTCCTTTACAGTCCTTTGTTTTAGTTTTAATTATTTGTGTATAACATGTTTTAGTCACGATATGGCTGAAACTTTGCCCAACTTAAATATTACCTTATTCACTCACTCTGATACCGATGTATCTAGTCAGCGATATCGATATTCTGGTATGCGGCTCCTTTTTGTGGTAATTTATCATTGTGGTGCACATGCCTTCACCTTCCAGCACACACGCAGCGTTCATCTGTGCTCCTGTAGACACGTGTCTCGGAGAAGAAGGAGGGCAACTCTTCTCCACTCACATGGTCTCCTGTAGACACGTGTCTCGGAGAAGGCGGAGGGCAACTCTTCCTCTCCACTCACATGGTCTCCTGAAGGCGAGAAGAAGGAGGGCAACTCTTCTCCACTCACATGGTCCCTATTACAAGTGTTCTGCTCCACTGGATATGTCGACGTAGACGTTCTGGCGTAAGACTTGGACATCGTGCTGGGCATCTTGAACGGATGCCGAAGACACGTATACGTCGTCGTACGTTTCTCGCAGATACACCTCTGTTGGAGGTGTGTGGTTCGAATCCATCTGCATTCTTCTGGAACATTACGTCTTACGTAGGGTCGGTACCGATGGTTTTCCTGAAACCGTAGCCATTTGTGCCAAGGGTGTTTGTTTGGACGTTGAATCAACGAGTAACGTCACGCTGCAAGGTACTAGACTAAAACATACCTATAGCTCTCCACCTGTCAGTTTCCGCAAGGCACATGCTATGCCTCTGGCTTTTTTACCTTTTAAAGTGAACATCAATGGCCATTTTGCGGGAATTTGTCATGTTTTTGCAAACTGCTTGGCTGCGTTCCTTCGGCCATTTAATCACACTCTTCATCTGGTTCAAATCCAAAACTTCATTCACAAAATAATTACCGATGAAAAAACCCTGGTCACAACGCCTTTGCCTCTGAGTATATACACATAATCGCCAAGACTATAGTTTGTGACAAGCTTTTAGAATATTAAAGATTAGGAAATTCATATCCGCTTTTCAATGATTGTTACTGTACATTAAAACTGTTGTCATGAGTAGCTGTTTGAAGCCATGAAAGCATTTGATTGTTATTGAGTGGTTTTCCCAAGAGAAGAAGTCCATGCTGGTCTATATATCTTTGAGATAATTCGGGGCCCATCATATCTAGGACCTTTAGGTGTTTGTTCAGGGAACCTTTCCATTTTCTTACATACATATCAACCCATTTCTGGTATTTCCCGCCGTGATATTCATATTCATTGCTAAAAAGCGGCGTAAAACTAAACTCACTCACTCACTCACATACATATCATCATATTTCTAACGTTTCATATTCATTCATCGAAGGCCTTGTCCATATTGACCACATGTCAAACTTACTTTTCCTATATAGAAACACCAGCAATTGGGTTAATACCACCAAATTACAAGCCATTGTTCTGATAAATATTGGGGCGTTGGGGTAGCTCAGTAATAAATGAGTTCGCTGGTCACGCCGAAGACCCGGGTTCGATTCCCTACATGGGGACAATATGTGAAGCATTTCTGGTTTCCCTTGTTGTGATATTGCTGTGATAATCACTCTAATTAATATTAATTTCTCAGTTTCTTATATGCTTGGGTCATACGTTCAAAGGGCTGTCTGTACTGATAAAGACTCATACATGCCTTGATGCTATTATAGCACTATTACTTGCAGTCGCTGTTTGTCACAATGATTGTAGTTATCCTGGGGGAAACATCCGTTAATACCAGAGGAACAACAACAAGGATCTTAGTTTGTAAACTCGTGCAATTGCTAATGTTTGTTTGTTTGCTGTGTTACGCAACACATCAGTAGCAGAGCTATATGGCGGCGGTCTGTAAGTAATCGAGTTTGGAGCAGACAATCCAGTGATCAACAGCATGAGCATCGATCTTCGCATTTGGGGTACGATGACATGTGCCAACCAAGTAAGCGAGTCTGACAACCCGATCACCTCTTTCGACAAGCATGGGTTGCTGAAGACAAATTCTGACCCGGATCTTCAAAGGTCACATTGCAATTAAATAACAATCGAAATGGGTCCCAATGTCAAGGTCAAGTCAGCGGGTCTGAACCCCTGGGCCTAGATTTTCGAAGATCTCTTAGCGCTAAGATAGTCGTAAGTTAATGTTAAATGGCACCCTGATCTTCGTTCAGAAAATCTAGGCCTGATCTCGTTAATCGCCTCTTACGCAACTGCTAATGGAAACAACAGCTATGTTTGTCTTATTGAATATCGACTCACCTAAACGGCTTGGTCCCTCGAACCAAAATAGTATTCAATTTCCCTCAAAAGCAGGCAACCACGGGATGATGCTAAACTGATTGCCTGAGATGTCTTGCCACGTCATCAATATGCAGATATTACAGCGCAGCAGTGTGTCACGTGACTGTAGTAGGACAACTAAGCTTCTAGAAACCTCAACTGATACAAAACTTTTAGGCTGATGTGGAATGTGATGTTCATGCATCTACCAGATGTTGTAATGATTGTATCGTTTCGTAATTTGAAACCGCGGAGAATTAGATGGCTCAGAGTCTGAATGAGGAAATTTGCATAATATTATTATTCATTGATTTTCCGTTTTACTGACCTTGTAGGCGTGCCAATTTATGTGCATAAATTTATCAATCACGTGATACACATCACACCACAGTGCTACAAATCAACTTTTGTTGGATAAACTAGACATTAAAGCATAGAGTTTCCCAAGAGCTGATGCAACACATGGTGAATACTGTAATGCATTTGCTTAGAGAAATTACCAGTGATAGTGTAGTTAGTATCAGCCATGGAACCTCGGATTGCGCAGATCGATCACTGGATTGTCTGGTCCAGACTCGATTATTTACAGACTCGCGATATAGCTGGAATATCGCTGAGTGCGGCATAAAACTAAACTCACTCACTCACTCTTGCATATCAAACTATCACAACCAGTCCTTGGTCAGTTTGAGGGGACATGTTTTTCAAACTGTCACATGATAACGTTTGATGCATCATCCTGTGCATCAATATGCACCCTTTAGACACTGTCATCGATCAGGTGACTTGAGAAAAGTATAAAACTTGATACTCATCCAAGTGACGCATATTGAATATCAAATTTCCAAAGCAGTCCATGGGAATTTTGAATGCATGACCTTCCAGTTTTTGAGGCATATGAGGCAGTCTCTTTACATGCGTGTGCTGTGGACACAATACACAGATTTCTGCTGAAGATCTCTAAGCATACAATAAACGAAGTGAACTTAATTGACATTACAGTCAGTGAAAGGAGAAGAAAACAAACAACTGCATGGACACCAAACAGTATATGGTTCATTGGCATCGGAAACGATAGGGATTGTGCCAGGGCTATTAAGCTGTAGTGACTGCAACCAAGTAATATACATATACATATATACATACATACATGTATATGTGAGTGTGTACACACACACACACACACACACACACACACACACACACACACACACACACACACACACACACACACACACACACACACACACACACACACACACACACGCACACGCACACACATGATTTCAACTTTGGTTGCTGGTGGTCTATAGCTCGTATATAATTGCATTAAATATGACATTGATTTGTGTTGAGTAGCGTATTTTAGAATTTGAAATGGTTAATTTCCATGCTCCAATTTTGTAACATCTTACTTATATTATACTGTCCTTTGTGATAGATATTTAATATCACGTTTAACATAACTGTTCTTGTCACTATATGACTGAAATATTGCCGATTTGCCGAACTCACTCACTCACTTGACATATTTCACAGTGAATGATAAATTATTTGAAACCTTACTCTTTACAAGTCATATTTCTGTATTTTTGTACAATCATATATCGTATATAATTGATATACCAGAACAACCACTACACGGAGAAGACTTTAATAAGCGAGTGCTGGGCGCTTTTGTTAGATTCCAATACACTTCCTTCATTTCTAAAATGTAATCACTTTTGTTCAGGGAAATATTTCGTTCTCAAAACAGTGACACAGATTACATTAGTGACATTCCATTATTGCAATATCCTGATTATCTGCCGTATTCCACCATGAACTGATATGTTGGTATATTTTTGGAACAAACTCTAACATATATTCCTCATACGTAACAATTAAACAACCGATGCAAGAATCATGTTATCAGTTATCTTCTCTCAACATATCCTAAATCTGAAGATAACACCATTGTCGTCATAAGAGTATTTTGGCACAACGTGACGGGACAGCCGTTTCCATTTCCCAGCATCCTCCAGTTCCTTCATCAGCTGCTCCAGTCCTTCCATGTATTCCTTGCACTGTGAGAGATATGATTCCTTCATCACGATGCATACTAAACCCCCTGAAAAGAGGGATTAAAATGTTTACTACGGACAAAAGATGACATGCAATTTGATTCACACACAAATGTAAACCATATTCTTATATGCAGTCATGACTTTAGAGCAATGACGAGTAAGAGAGTGAGTTGGGTTTTACGTCTCTCACTGTGAGAGATATGATTCCTTCATCACGATGCATACGAACCCCCCTTAAAAGAGGGATTAAAATGTTTACCAAACAATATATATTAATAAATTTTATCTGCCTGTGCATACAGATATCACACTTAAGGGCACTCTAGACGTTGAAGCATCAATGAATAAAAACAACCCTTTATGAAATACTAACGACAGACACACAAGCATTTTATTGGATATAAGGCCAGAGGCCAGAAAACCAAAGGCCTAATTTCAGTGACTGGTTTTCAACAGTTGGTTTCATGTGATATAAATACAGAGAAGCGATCCTTAGAACTTCTATATGTTGTTCTAGAATATACGCTTGTAACTAATGTGCTTATAGTGTACAGCTCTATAGAAAATCTAGGAATATATATCGTCATTTTATCACAGTAAATTATGTATTTTGAATATGTCATTTCGATTCACAATTCATTACACTTAACTTTGTCCAAACGACTGGTTTCGACAGCAGTTTGTAAAAAGGTTACATCTAGAATGAGACAGGAAAAATTTAACAGAACGTTATTGATATAGATTGTTCAGAATATGAGCTTTTTATGAACCATGACTGGAATGACGGTTTACTGCAATAGTGCACCTTTCTATACTTCACAATACTTAAAAAAACTACGTGTTTTCATACTCCGTCTTGGCATTCGGACCGATTTCGAAAGTTGTTTAATTGCTATATCTGAATTGAGGCGAGTATTGTTCAAATGTTTTCTGTAAGGTGAATCACCTGGTTTAGTCAATCGAATTAGTTCGTTCAACCCACGGCATGGAATGTGTCCTTCTCCCATTCCACCGCTTATAACACAGCAGTCGTACGAGTCTGTAACATACGAAAGAACCTATGTTAAGCACAGCTTGGTAGAACTGACAAATTGTCTTAATGTAACAGTGGAGAGACACAATACCATTTCATTTATAGGAGGTGCTATAACTATTTACTGGGATGCGTGTTACTATGGGATCAAGTGGAGATCAGATGTTACCTACCATCATCTATTGGGAGACGCTTGCCGTCCAGGAACTCACAGTAGAGATTGGTGTAGATGTTCTTCTTCCTGGCTTGTTCCAACATCCCTGCAGCAGGTTCTAGAGCATCCAGATGCTTAAATCCTCGGTCCTGAAGCTACAGAATTGTCCAACTGTTTAGTGTATAATAAGGCAAACTGATTGACCAAACAGCTCTTATACACAGATCAGCTGATTAGCAAGAGTGAGTGAGGGAGTGGGTTTAGTTTTACGCCACACTCAGCAATATTCCAGCTATATGGCAGCGGTCTGTAAGTAATCGAGTCTGGACCAGACAATCCAGTGATCAACAGTCTGACCATCGATCTACGCAATTGGAATACGACGATGTGTGTCAACCAAGTCAGCGAGCCTGACCACCCGATCCCGTTAGTCGCATTTTACGACAAGCATGGGTTACTGAAGATCAGTTCTAGCCCGAATCTTCACGGGTCCTATTGTGAAAAACTTCTGTCAGGAATATTTTAGAAAATGCATACCATTCATCCTCTGTACACTATGTGGTAATTACAGGACCTTTCCGTTTCAGTGAGTGTATATGTTGAATTAATTTGGTTCACTTTGCTGTACCTGTTTGCCAACAAGGCCTGTCCCTGCAGCAACATCTAATACTTTCGTCTTGGGTATGCTTTCATTGAAATATTCTGCCAAGGCGTTGGCAGCAATGACTGGTCCTTTGTAGCGCTCATAGCCCGAATTCTGAAACATATAAGGCCATTCGATGAAGGAGAATAGTTGAGTACACCGGAGAAGCAACATTAAAACGATTTCGTGTCATATATATACTTACTAGTTATATAGAGCCTACCTGGTCATATTTGCCGTCCACGGCCCAATTAGAGTAGAAATCCACTACTTCCTGTTTGGTGAGCCCAGCACGATAAGCAGAGGCGCAGAAAGCTCTGGCTATGTTCTCTGGCGTACCTTTCTGTGTGTACTCGCTTGCATCTTCTGACATATCTGAGAGTATAAACAGGACAATATCGCAGCCTGTAAATGAATTAAAACATCGGTTAATCATCTCATGAAGACTGATTAAACTTTTGAAATTTCAATATGTTCTTTAGTTCAGTTCCTAAGACCTCCTCCAGCAAGTGCTTCCTTAAGTCAACTCTCTCTCGCGAACTATTGCAGCTTCAACACTGTCACTTTCTTAGGATAACATTTTGGTTATTTCCCGTTTACTTAAAACATAAAACCAGATATGTAGACAGGACCAACGGGAGCAGCTACTTTATTTGACAGTATGTTGTGTTACAGTGCAACAAAATGTGCGTCTTCATACCGTATCAGTGTGTTAATCTTAGTGCTGGCAACAGTTTACTGGAGCTTGCTATTTTTCAATCACCATTCCATATATCATTTCATTATCTCAGTGACTCTTATAAAGACATATTGTTGAGTCAAGAGTCGTCATTGTATTCAAAGTCTACATCTGTTATGCATATATATTTCCTAATTAAATTATTGATACGAAAGTATAGAGCATGGTCGATATATACATGTATTTTATGAGTATGTTACTGGTTTATATTTCACTAACATTTTAATTATTTGAGTTTAGAGTGTTAAATGTACAGCTTTGGGTTCGTTCATTTCATTGCTTAACCCTGATAGTTTATATAATACGTTTTGCAACAAGTGTAATCGCTCTGTATTATATGTATTAACGTGAGCGTCAGTTGGCATGCATCTGGCATGGCCATATATTTACATTTGGACATAATTTTAATTGCTTCAATATGAATGCACACAAATGGGGATATTTAATATCAGCCTTTGATCATATGAACTTGACATGAAAAGACAAGGTTACATCAAAAGCAAGAGCAATATTGTAATAATCTCGAAAATTGGTTCTTGTTTTTCTTCTTCTTCTATCCTTCTTGTTCCATCAGTATCAGTGACCAGTGACTAAAGGTCACCAATTTGCCCTAGATTCTGAAACAGTGACAACAAAACTCCCAGGGCTATGGGCACAAAAACAAGGGCAGACAATTCAAATTCATTCGGTTCGAGCTTCACTTTTACGACGCCATAGCTCGATACTAACACTCTGGGGCTTCCAAATTTCTAATGCAGCTGCGGAACCAGATTCTGCAAATATTTAATTGAAAGTGTCGGTTGCTAAAATGCATTGTTTGGCAGCCATATTGGATTCTGGATTTTGGTCATGTTTTTCTCCATTTGTCTCTGTATCTTTGGTCAAACTCAAAACTTAGGACATTTTACGATTTGGGGCTTGAAAAATGTTTATGTTAAGGACTAAAAATAACCTGTACAATTTATTGACGTCCCGACAGACCACGTCGTGTCAAAGGGACACCAGAGGGAGCGAAAATAAAACATCATCCTCTTTATTCTCTACTGTGGCTCGTATCATTTACTGTGCTCCAGGCCACATTGAAAGATTTCAATATTCGTTGCACAATTTATTATATTCTTTGGTGCACAATATGTTAAAGTAAAAACGATTAGCTGATATATTAAATTTATTTTTCAAGTTAAATCTCAAGTTCTCATAGAAGGAAGATAATGAAGAATCGCCCGCAAGTACATATATACTGAACCGCATAAAAAACGCAAGTTTTTTCAAAATGAATAAAGATTCGATAGAACATTGTTAAATATTATAGTGTGACTACACATTGGTTACCTTTGTTGTGAAAAAGCAGTTTGTTAATGTTCAGGTTCTGTTTGGTGATTTCTCTTGGATAATGCACATCGCCAAAACGCAGCAATTGAATTGGCCGTGGGATGTGGTTGCAGAAGTTTTTCATGAAAATCATGATGCGCATGATGTAAAGGACACATAAGGGTATAAAAATGCTCTCAAATCAGTTTGAAATCACTCCCGACAAACGCCCACCCAAAATGCCAAGGTTAACGACGCAACAGAGGGAACAAGCCATCGGCCGTCTTGAAGCTGGAGTGTTGCAGATGTTGCCAATGCATTCCATGTGCACATAACGACCATCTACCGTCTTCAGGAACGTTTTGCTGCTGCACAGACCACTGCTGACCGCCAACCTTCTGGACGTCCGAGAGTCACAACACCACGGCAAGATCGACACATTCAACGTTCGGGGATCGATTCTTATCTGCCAACGAGACTGCCCGACAGACTATTGGACGTCACAACCGAGCAACAAGCGGAGATACAGTTCGGCGCAGACTCAGAGCAGTCCACCTCCGTTGTAGTCGTCCAGCTCGACGTCCTATCCTCACACCGAGACATCGACAGAATCGTCTGCAGTGGGCTACGTTGCATCGAAACTGGCGTCATCAACAGTGGAGACTGGTATTGTTCTCTGATTAAAGTCGGTTTTGCATTTCTCATGCTGACGGCCGAGTTCGAATATGGCGAAGCCGAGGTGAACGCTTTGCTGACGAATGTGTAATGCAAGATGATGCATGGGGAGGTCCGAGTGTTATGGTATGGGCAGCGATTGGCCTGAATCAGAGATTAGGGCCAGTATTCTTCCAGAATATTGGGCCAGGTCGGGGAAATGGAGTCACTGCCCAACGTTATATCGACCAGATCCTCCGACCCCAGGTTGTGCCATTTTTCGTCCGACACCAGCAACACATTTTCCAGCAAGACAATGCCAGGCCCCACACTGCTAGAGTCACTCAGGCATTTTTCCAGCAGCATAACATCCGACTACTGCCATGGTCTGCTGTCAGTCCTGATTTAAACCCAATCGAACATTTTTCGGACGAGCTGCAGAGACGACGGAATAAAGTCCGACCACGTCCGACAACTGCAGCAGAACTCCAGGCAGCCATCATCCGGACATGTGCGGCAATCCCTAGGGTCTTTGTCAACCGCCTGATTCACTCCATGTTCAGGCGGTGCACAGCTGTAGTGAATGCACGAGGTGGACATACGCGCTACTGACTTGTTGGATCAATTTCGATTTGTCTTCAAGGCAAAGTAAACCAACAATGTTTCCATGCATAGACTGACATGTCCCAATCATCATGCAACAAGTGTTGATTGTTATTATGTACCTGTTTTCATGTATTATCTGTCAAAAGTAAAGTTTTTCAAAATCTGGATTTTGACTTGCGTTTCTTTTGCGGTTCAGTATATATGAATAACAGTGGCATTGCAGAGAGATTCGGCAGTATATGTTTTTATTCAAAAACCTAGAAACGACAAGTAACCACTCTGCTGTGATTTAACTATATACGTAGAGAAACAACTCAAGCGTTCCTTTAAAATTTTCTAGTTTTCATCACCAGCTTTGAAGAGCGCTGTGGTGATGAAAACTGGAAAATAATACAGGAACGCTTGAATTTTCCGGTGTTCCTTTGTTTGTTTCTCTACGTATATTATTTCTAGTGTCAAAAATGTGTTTTATCGTGTGGTTCTGCTATCTGGTCAGTGTTGCACGCACAGGGTATCCCGCATGGATATGAAATCGTCATAGCATAAACATTCAAAGTAACAATTCACTTTTCGAAAGACTGCCAGAGAAGAGGGGTGTCTTCAAACCCTCCAATAGTAAACGTTCCCATTGTAACATTCTAGCAGTTCCATCCATTAGTGTCTATAATTCAAAACTGCTGACACATGCTTTGAGCATACTCTTTCTACGGTGACAAGTCACAAACGGTGTTTGATAAAGGTTACAACATTCACAGTAGTAGCACTGCTTTCAAGAGTCTTTAAGGTGCGGATACGATCTTCCTCTGCGACAAGACTGGGTAAGCTCCAGTTTCGCCAATATTTTTAGTACCATCACTATCTGTCAGTGATTCAACAACAGGTGTCCACGACATACCTGGAATTTTAAGTCGACCTATGATTAATATTACATACACTCTTTCAATTCCTGACATGAATATTGTTGGTGTGTTGACTAAAACAACGATCACTGTGATATAAAGCACTGTTGTTTGTCAAAATGCTTGTATTTAATCTCGTACAGTTTTAAATTAATTAATTAATCTCGTACATTTCCAACTCCTTGTGTCCCAGGAACCTCGTAATTATGCGAATACAGACATCGGTTATTTGTGTTAATCATCAAATAAATATCGACTTACCCAAATGGCCTTGTAATTCGATAGAGTCTATATTCTACCACT